CGGGCGCGACTGTAGAGACATTAGGTATTGTTTGGAAGCAGGTAGGATGAAAAATTAGCAACCTTCCCTGGGAATCGAACCACGGACCTCTGGAATACCAGCCCAGCGTGCATAATCACTACACCACGAAGGCACGCTAGGAAGGCGGGAGAAATACCTTATAAAGGAAAGGAAAACTAATGTGATCACGATAAATTTTTAATTACGTTTAAATATATTTGTTCCTAAACTTCATTATTTTCAAATTTTATTAGCCCAAAGAGCGGTAGACCTGAAGGGCTATTTATTAGTCTCGAAACGGCATTTTGAGTTGATCATTTAAGTGCTATGTATCCCTTTTCAAATTGTCGCAACCAAATATTATCGCCCTGTATTATATTTAAAGAAACTAAATAATGAATAATCTGCATGAATGTATGTATGCTTCTCGCATTGTAAAAAAACAACGCTACCTAGAGTCATCACATTTTCAATAACATAATCCTCCACTCGAACATGCAGGGGCGTAGCTAGAGGGGGGCAAGGGGGCATCTGTTCCCAGGCGCAGAATCCAAGGGGCGCCAAACTGATGATATGACAATTTTTTAATGAAATGTTTTCCATTCTTGGCACAGCAGAAAGAGGTGCGAAATTCTTCAGTTGTCCCTGGGCGCTGAAAACCCTAGCTACGACTCTGCGAACATGGGTACCTTGGAAGATAGAATTTGGAATCTGGAATTTATTTCGTTGTCTTTTTAATATTTTGTAAAACTTTATCGAATTTTCGATTGAAAAATTCAAGAGTTTCAAAGCAAGCATTGGCAACACTGTAGGGGGAAAACCAAGGAGGTAAAAATAGTCTATTCTATCCTCCTTGGTTAGAACCTCCTTGGAAAAAAACATTTTTATCTCCAGTGCGCGAAACTGTCTATCAAAAATTCTAAAAATATGCTGTTTTTTAATACTTTTAAAATGCTCTTGAAATGCGCATGTGTGTGTGTGTAAAAGAAAAAACAAAAAAACGCCCGTCTGGGCTAATACAAAATCTGAAAGCTTTCAGATTTTATTTTATTAACCGAAAGGGCATTTTTTCGTTTTGTTTTCGTTTTGTTTGTTGCTCGTTCAATTTCGTTTTGACATTTTACGTTAAGAACTTTAAATGTCCGTTTCACTTTTGTTGCCACCAGATATTATCGCCCTGTGTTATACTTAAAGAAATTAAATAGTGAAGGATCTGCATAAATGTATGTATGTTTCTCGCATTGTAATAAAACAACGGAACCTAGAGCCATCAAATTTTGAATGACGTAATCCTGCACCGAATATGGACATCTGGAAGCACAAATTTGGAATTTCTGTTATTATCGGTTTCATATTTTGACAAATTTTTGATTAACAAACTCAACGATTTCAAAGCGAGAAATGGCACACTGTAAGGAAAATAAAACTTTTCTATCTCCAGTGCGCGAGACTGCGTATCGGAAATTCTAAAGATATGCTCATTTTTAAAGTTATTTTGCAATATTGCTGTTGAATTGAATTTTATGGCTTAAGTGCGAAGAACATGATATTCAATAAATAAAGGTAACACATAAAAAGTTAAAAAAATCCCTTTTAGACGTAATATAACATCTGTGAAGCTACCATCTATAAAACAAATAATACTATATTCTTAAAAACTCTATTGTCATAAGTAACAACTACCACAGGTTTTTTTTCTGTCTGAAGAGTGAGGTAAATCTGAAAAAGAAAGCATTCCATTCAAGCGATCGTAACGGTTGTCATTAGGAAGTCTATCTCTAATATTCAGATCATTTAAGACCATTAAATCAATAGGAAGAAGACCAGAAATAAAGAGTACTGCCTCATAACTAAGAATCCTGTAATACGAAGGAGAAATCTTCTTTGAACTCTTCTAAGAAGTTTATAAAGTTACTTCCAAGAAGGGCCCACCAGCGGCCGAGCGGTAAAGTCGCTGAACACTGGTAGTTAGAATCCTGCGAACGGGCTGGCTGCATGGGCGTTTTCGTGGTTTTCCCCATGTGTAACGTGTATACGAGCCAGTTTCCCTTAGAAAGTCCTCCACGAAGGCACCCCTCCCCTTAGGCAGATAGCCCTCGAGGCTTTGCCATAATCACACGCACGCACACATACTTCTAAGAAGTTTAGAAGTTCATTTTCTTCCTTAAAGAATTCCCCCAAGATTAGAATAGAATAGAATTCCCCCAAGTTCTTGAGGCATAGGAAATGAGTGGTACAATGGCTTGATTATAAATCAGGCTGAGAACATCACATTTGACCCAATAAGTATTCCTTAAAATTTGCAGTAAACCTAGAACTTTTTTACTCTTATGGGAAATATAAGAAATATGCTGCTTCCACTGTACTTTACTGTCTACAATAATTCCTAAATATTTAAAGGTGAAGTAATTACCCGATAATTCTCCCACATTTTGAATAATAATATATAGATAGTAATCAAAATATGCAATAAATTTCTCAGCTCAAAATAAAAATTCAGTTTAAAGTTATAGTTGGTCGCCTGCTGAACGAAAAAAACTTGCATCTTCTTAAGAATCTACCACACTTTTCAACACAAAAAGAAGCTTTAAGCTTTTCAGCGATACTTTTGAGAAATGGCTGATACTACTTGAAATGTGAGTCAGTCACAACCCCCAAAAGAAAAGGATTGCAATTTAGTACGAATACCAGTGACGGATTTCTTTTATCTCTGACTGTTCAGCATTCTTCCACCAGAAAAATCTTAGAAAATCTATGTCATCTCAATCCACAGAGAGATTTGTATGTACGTTATCCTTATATTTGAAATAAAGCCTATCCTCTTATCTTTAGTTTGAGCAATATTACTGAAAGCAACTGTAGAAGATTTGTCCCTTTTGCTAAACAGTCATTTTAAGGAGGAAAATGTTTTCTTTTTGCAAGATGCGTCAAATACTGGTCTAACCGGTGCCGAAGAATTTTCTTTGAAACTGTTCGATGTGGAAGATAGTGTATTTTTCCCTCTGATTCATTATTCGGCACTCCTTCGACTACTATCGATGGTAACCAAACTTTAATCACCGCATTTTTCTTCTAATTTAAATTTCTTTGGGGTTGTAAGCAATCTCTTTTCAGCATTGTCTCTATTGACTGGTAAATTATTCCGATCATCGACCCTGGCAAACTGACTTCATGCCTACCATCATCATGTTTTTTCAAAGTCCTATAAAGGTAATCCAATACAGCTATTTTCATTTCTACGCTAGACTTGTTTTCATAGGGATTAATTATTCCTAAATCATCTAATTTCAATAAATTCTCTAAAGTATTGCTGTGGATTAGCATACTGGTTATCAGAGATGAAGTACTTTGAGATACAATGCTGTTGTTTATCTCGCCGATAACAATCTAGCCAAGTAGTGTCTGTACTGCAACAGACCAGATGTTAAGTGGAAAACATTCGGGTGTAAAGTCTTCCAGTATAGTCAGCTCTAATTAAAAGCTCTGTAGGTAGTGAGACTTTTCCTTCATCAGTAAGACTGATAAATTTATCTCGTAATTCAGCCATCCAGGGTTCTTTTTGAGCACTAGGAATGTAACCACAAATAACTTGCTGGTCCAGAACTTGAATTTTACAAGAGTAATTCTTCTTTAAATTACTCATAGATATTTTATATCATTTATGTTGCTTTCCAAAAGTAATACCCCAAACACAACATGTGTTAAATTTTCACTTCGTTAAGCAGTCGCCTCCATTTGGTTCATGGTAGATTTCAGAGTATCGATCTCTGTGATCTCTTGTCAAATAAAGTTCTTACAGTTGTTCTTTTCCCATTTGCTTCAATGGATAGAAGAGGAGTTTGTAGAAGAACTTTTGTTTGGCTTTGGTTGGACAACGTTGCATTAATCAACGTGAGAAGTCTCTGAATTAATTTTTCGGCATTCTGAATTAATCGCCATTTGATAATTCAGGACATACTATTCCGATGTTGTTGTTGTTGTTGTTGTTTTTCACAAATTATGCATCAGAGATTTGCCTTGCACTTTTCCGAATAATGTCAGATTTTCAAACATGCAAAACGTGTTTTATTTTCCTTAAAATATCTGTTTTTCCCTCAAAAGGCCTTTAAAACAGTCTTGAGAATAATGTGTTCTGCCACAAAATACACAAGCAGGTTTCATAACTTTAGTACCCGAAACTAGATCATTAGCTGTCGGGACAGAAATTTCGTCTTCGGCAGCTTTGGATAAAGAAATTCGTTCTTCACCAGGGCCGCCGCTAGGGTGATGGCCGCCTGTGTGCTCACATAGTTTTCGTCTACCCGTCCCTCCCCCTCTTCTCTAGAATACAAAAAAATTCTACCTTTTTCCAAAGAATAATTTTTCAGCAAATTTGTCTTAAAAAATATTTTTTTTTTCAATTATAAAACTTCAAAAGTCAATGTCTTAATATAAAATAGACCTAATTTTTAACGAAATCGTTTTAAAAATATAAAGAAAAATTAATAAAATTGTGGGAACTAAATCGAACGGATTTAAAAAAAACTTACCTTATAATGGTAAGAAGAATTGGAGGTTCCCTTCAGCCCACCTGGACATAAGTGTCCCATAGCTCAAAAGAAGGGGCCCCGCCTTATAATGGTGAAAAAAAGAACCCTGGGAGCTTTAAAACACTTCTCAAATTGTTTTTAGGATAAAAGTTAGAATTGCACTCTCCGAGATTTTGTTTCCGAAAATTTTTTTAACACACTATTAAGGTCTATGGTATCGCACAATTCGTGTTCAATAGAAAGAGTTGCCAAAGCCGATAATCTTTCCTGACTCATGGATGATCTAAGATAGTTTTTATCAACTTGAGCTTGGAAAATGAACGTTCTCCAGTTGCAACAGTGACCGGTAAGGTCAAGAAAATTCTAATTAGTACGGTTAAATTGGGAAAAGATGACGATAAATTATTTTCTAGTATGTATTCAAGAATTCCAATTGTATTCATATTAGTTTTAAGATGGGGTTGCATAGCTTTAATTTCCTTCGAATAATTCCGCCCCGTTAATGTCGCTATGATTTAGCTTCTTGTCTGTCAAGGCTAGTTCCGCTTCGGCACAGTGGGCTTTCAGTTCATTGTCTTTAAGGTCGCCATATTCGTGTATATTATATAAAATTTTAAAGATGTTAATATGTTGGTATAATAATTGAAATCTCTCATTTATAGCCCCAATTGTTGCATCCAAAATTTTAAAGTAAAAGTTGACTTTAAAAGAGCTCTCTGGATCTAAAATGCTTTCATCCTCGTGTTCGTAATCAAAATTTCTTTTTCTTCTTCCAATGCGTTTTGCTGCTGGAGGAGGAAATTCTGCTTCTAGTTCAACTTCGGCAGCAATTTGCTTTGCAGCATCCATAAATATTTTGAAATGTTCGTCACATCTTATTTCAACAAAGTAGTCTTTTAAATTTTCTAGGTTTTCTAGGGCTTCGGCTGAAGATTTAATGTTTAATTTTGGACTTTGTAAAAGTTTACTCACTACGTTGACTTTATTAAGAATTGCATGCCAGATTATTGTTGAAAATATAAATTTAAAGGTACTGATTTTTTTTACCCAGTGAATTTGCCAAAGTTCTCGTAATTATATCCCTAGTTTCATCATCTTTTAATTCTGCTAGAGCATCATATATTTCACCTAATTGTGTTTTAAGTGGTGTGATTGCTTCTATACGACTTTCCCATCTTGTATCTGATAATGGCTTTAATGTAAGTTTTGGAATATGCGCTAATAAAATACTCCATCTATAATTTGATGCTGAGAAGTAAACGTACAATTCCTGAATTAAGTAAAAAAAAAATCAACTGTTTCGAAGCTTACTTTAGCAGCGTCGTTCACAACAAGATTTAAACTGTGAGCTATACAAGGAATAAAAAATGCACGGGGGACAAGCGTCCAAAATTTTTTTCTGTAGTCCTGTTTTCCTCGCATATTAGCCCCATTGTCATAACCTTGTCCACGTAAATTATTCATATCCAGTTTTAGCTCTTGAAGGTTTTTTTACTATAAATTCATATAATCCTTAACCAGTTGTATCTGTAATTGGGCAGAATCCCAAGAAATGTTCATAAATCTTAACTGGTGGGGCGCAAGGAACACATCGAATTATAACAGTTATTTGTTCAGTATGTGAAATATCTGGGGTACAATCTAGAATTATAGAAAAATATTTTGCCTGTCGTATTCTGTCTAATATTTGTTCTTGTATAGTTGTTGCCAATAACTTAATCATTTCGTTTTGGTGTTCCCAACCTAGATAGTGAGGCGCGTTTTTGTAATTTTTGGATTGTATTCTACGTAAATGTTCGGAAAGAACTGCGTCAAATTTGGAAATCATTTGAGTCAATTGAAGGAAATTTCCATTATCTGGCTGAAACAGTTTTTGTGATGAACCCCTAAAGGCCAAGCACTGACGAGATAAATATCTGACAATAAGCATCAATCTTTCAATAACGGCACGCCAATGATTTTTTTCCAGTTCGTATAATCGCTGATTGGACGAGTCGATTGTCGTACCCTTTTTCAGTGCTACACTCAAATCATGCATTTGTTTAGTATATTTAATGTGGATTAATCTGCTCTCATCATGCCTTTTCAAGATTAAAGATAACTGTTGCCAATCGTTCACTCCTTCTTTACCATATATACGCTCCTTTTTCTCTGTGACATCGGTGCAAAATAGTTTACATGGAGCACAGAAAACACTATTTAAAGATAAAGAATATAATAACCAAGGACGGTGGATTTTTTCACCATTGCTTAAAGTACGGTAAAAATATGACTCTGAAAATTTTTTATTTTGCTCATCTCTGGGAAATGCTATGTTTTGAAATTGACTTGACTTGGGAAATTTTCAATTATATATTGTACCTGACTGTGGGTTAGGTTTATAGGCCATTTACCAGGATCGTCAGAAACTAGGCAAAGAGCGTCGTCTTTTTCTAAAGATTTAAAAGTAGTTAAAGCATCCATGTCCTTACCTGTTTCAGTTGTCTGCTCTAGCTCTACGTTTTCCTTCTCCCATTCTTCTCTTTTCTCTTATTTGTGATTATCAACATCATGATTTTTTGCAGTAAACGAAATGTCTTTCCCTGCTTCCCAGCACACTACAGATTCATCTCTTAGGCACCCGGTACCCACAGAAGTTGATGCACCAAAATTTACAATATTTACATTGTCATTATTACTTACATTTCTTGAAATTTCTGTTGTTGAATTGTCACTTTTAATATCACTATTATCACTTCCAGTTTTCAAATATTTTTCTAAGGCACCGCTTTGTTGTTGCTGTTCTTCAAGCCTAGCTTTCTTCTTTTGATAACCTGACAGTCTTTTAGTTTTTCTGTCAGACATTTTTAAGGGTCGAAAATGAAAACCTAAATAGTAGTATACAAAACTGCACTGAATCTACGCACGTTTTTGGTAAAAAGTATGTAAGTGTCAATGTAACAAAACGGTAACACTTTTTAAAGTACAAAGTACAAAAAGTCAGTATATTCATTAAAATATAACATCTTCACATCGCACACGCAAAATCGGCAAAACTATGCGATCGCACGGGGTTGTTTAAACTAAAATTAAAATTTGTTACCTCACACTTGCAGTGGTCCATTCTTCGCATCTACTACAAATTTACAACGCAACTGTAAGAAAATTAAGGCGCAGCTAAATATATCTGCGCATGCGCTTGGTGATGTCTCCTTTTCGTCTGTCGAGTCTTCTAGGAGGGGGGGAAGGGAAGAACGCCCTCCTCGTATAGGGGGAATGCCATCTGTTTGCCACAGCAAGTATTAACCAACAATTGGTTATTTTCGCGAACTAATAACCCCAATTATTAGTTTGGTCCGCTGTAATATTTTTCAATCATCAATTCTTTGCTGCATCGGCGGATATTCCATAACCCAATAAAGAACAAAATTTGACGACTCAAGTGTTTATTTCCTTATGTTGTTACAATACTGTAATACAATACAAATTTGCGAAGAAATACGTTCGGCTTATTTTCGTTATTAAAGCTTGATGAGTTTATGTTTTGGAAGATTTATTTTCAATAAAACTCGGTGAGTATGATTTTTTTTGCTTAAAGATCGGCGGTCCGTGGCCGCCTGTGTGTTTTGAACACACCGCACACATGGTAGCGGCGGCCCTGACTTCAACTTCCGCTCAAAGAAACAACAATAGAGGGGCTAGTTTACCATAAGAGTAGACTTCTTCTTTATTGATTACTTGATTACGCAACCAAACCCTTAACAAATTTTCGGGAATATAAGATTCCACCAATGAGAATAACATGCCTGCATATTTGTTAGAAGTTACGCCAGTCGACTTTAAAGACCTCAAATGTTACTCCAATCTATCATAGAGTTGCATAATATTGTTACGAATTTGGTATTTAAAAAGCTAATGTTAGTTCAATTATAAATTAAATGGTTTTATTTCTCGCGCAGTGCAGCGCGTGACGAATATTAAAAGAAAGCTAAGCCGGAAAATTGAAAATACAAGAGCGCGTGCATTAAATAAAGAAATATCTCTTTTTTTATTTCAAGAAAGTACTGGAAAATTCTAGCGCGTGATTTTAAAATCTTATAAAAGAAGGAAAACATCTCAGTTTGTAGTAGTTGCTTAGTTTGTTTGTGTTTAGAAAACTACTGTTGTTGATTGTAGCGAATTCGCGGATTAGCGTTCTTAGCTGTTTTTGAATTACGTTCTATTGGACATTTGAGTAGTTAAAAGAAACTACTGTGAGATATTGTAATACTGCATGATAATTTGAGAAAATTTAAGCATTTTTGTTGTGATAATAATAAATTTTTGTTCATTTTTCATCGGACTTGTGCATTCATTTCATAACGAACCCGTACGCACTCAACAATTTTGGTGGCAGCGATGGGATATTGAATGCCAATCACAAGAGCGATGGAAGAACAGTTAAAACAATTCATGGCAGTCTTTGCTACATTTAATGAAGAGATGAAAGACTCTGTTAAAGAAGGAATTAGATCCATTAAAGAAGAAATAAAGTTGGGCCAGGAATCTGTTAAGGGAAATGAATTGGGCCAAGAAGAAATGAAAAAAGATGGAAGCAGTCAAAAAAAATGGAAGAATCCGTTAGAAGAGAGACGAAATCTATTAAGGAGGAAATGGAAGTAGGTCAAGAGGAATGAAGAGAGAAATTAAACTGCATAATAGAAAACAAGTTCCAAGCTATGGAAGGAAGAATGGATACATTTGAAGACAAAGTTGGAGAAATTCAAGAAAGAGTTTCGTGCGGTAGAGCAACAAATTGAAAAAGAGTTTCTTCTGCCGTCCAACAACAAATTGAGGAAAGGGTTTCTGCTGCTGTTGCAAAAGAAGTTGACACTTTAAAGAAGAGCATAGCGACAGAAGGAAGCAATTCTGAGGGTTTTAAATTCTTATCGATGCCTGCTCGTCCATTTCTGAAGCTATCCACATATGATGGGAAGACATCCTGGCAAGTGTACAAGACCCAGTTTTCTATCGTTGCGGATGCAAATGGATGGGATTCCCAAGCTAAGGCCTGTCATCTCGCCGCTTCTTTAAGAGCCGACGCAGCGGATATCCTTCAGACTCTTCCCGAAAACAAAAGGTTAGATTTCGAAGCTCTATCCGGAACGCCTTGGAGCTGCGCTTTGGCGAGAAATGTTTAAAAGACTACAGCAGGCTTGAATTAAAATCCCGTCAACAGAAGCCCACCGAATCACTTCAGGAGCTCGCCACGGATGTTGAAAGGCTGTCAACATCACGCCTTTTCGGAGTGCCTGACAGAAAAGCAAGGGAAATCCTGTCCCTGCAATATTTCATCGATGGAATCCGGGATCCCGAAATACAGAAGGCTCTACGAATGGCAGATGTAAAGGATAATAAAAGCGCTCTGTGTACGCCATGAAATTCGAGGCAGCCCAGCAAGCAACTCGGAGAGATCGCTAGGACTCGCAGACTCGGAGAACCCAGTCAGAGCTGTGCGAGTCCACGAGCCAGTGGATCAATTGATGGCTCGTTTAGATGATTTATCCAGACAAGTCTAATGCGCTTTGATACGGAGTAGCAGTGAGAACAAAGTGGCTGTAAGATTGTTGGAGAATGTGGTATTGAAGGTCACCTACGACGGCATTGCAGAACACCCCAGGGCACGGATAATAAAACGGATGATTTGACAAGACCAGTGAATGCTTTAAGACGGAATAGTGGTGAAAAGAAACCGAACCCTAAAGTGCTGGAATTGCGGTGTTGAAGGCCACCTACGAAGGAAATGAAGAACACCCCAGAGCACGGAAAATAAGGCAAGAGGCGATTTTAAACAGACAATTAAATGCCAGGGGACGGAAACGAATTGACAAGAAAACAAAGTGCTGGAACTGTGGAGCTGAAGGCCACGTACGAAAGAATCTGCAGAACACCCCAGGGTACGAAAAATTGAAGACAATTTCTGAGCAACCACACAAGAAACAAATTAATGACCATATCGAAGGAACGGAGGTTGCCAGGTAATGAAAAACCCTGTTTTAAAGCGCCCATTTCAAGATCTTCTATCAGTTTCTGAGAGACTGGCAACAATAACGGACTGTCCATTCAATCATGGGAATATCGATGGCAGTTCCTTGCAATATGATCATCGACACAGGAGCTAATGTTACTATCATTAGGAAAGATTTAGCTCAACAGTTTAAAGATAAACTTATTTGGACGCCATCCTGTGTTACCCTCCAGACTGCGTCTGGTTGACAAGATCGACATAGACTGGGAAGTTAACGTAAACATCACGGTTGGAAGTGCCGCCTACCATCACACGGCATATGTGGCGGATATTACAGATCCATGCATACTCGGATTGGACTTTTAAGGAAATACAATTTTTCCTTAGATTTCAAAAACAATAAGCTGCTTTCAGCATCTGATGGCATGACTATCCATCCTCAAAGGGATCCTCGCCTGGAAATGTCGACGCCTTGTCCGAAAGATCCAGCTCGGGAAGCTGCCGAAATCATACCAGGTCGAAAAGAAACGCAAGACTACCAGCTATTCTCCATCCCAGAAGCTCTTCGGTCGAGACCTTCGTCTGCCTTGTGAACCGCCTGTTTAGTCGCCTACGGATGCGCCTTCATCGCCTGAGGAACACATCCAAGATGCCCAGGCCCGGTTTGAGTGATGCAACCGTTCTGCACGAAAGCGAGTCAACTTGGCGACGGAGAAAATGAAGACCAGATGCGACACAAGAGCTACTAGACATAGATCCAAACAAAGGAGACAAGGTGTGGTTGTGGAACCCGATTCAACGAAAAGGATGAGTCCTAAATTACAGTCACCTTCGGATGGTCCATATACAGTGCTGAACACGAATGACGTCGTGGTTCGGATCCGTGAGTCTTCGAACTCTTACGACAGTTTAGCTCATTACTATGGCCATAGTACATAATGTAAATAATTGTAAATAGTATCAGACCATGGTCCTTTATGTTTTAAAATGTATATTTCATTTGATTTGTATTTAGTATTTGTTTTGTATTTAGTATTTGTTTTGTATTTACTATTTGATAGCATTTGATTTGTTTAAGTTAGTTGTTGCATTTATTGTTCATGTTGTTTGATATTGTTGCGTGCGTATGGGTTCGTTATGAAATGAATGCACAAGTCCGATGAAAAATGAACAAAAATTTATTATTATCACAACAAAAAAATGCTTAAATTTTCTCAAATTATCATGCAGTATTACAATATCTCACAGTAGTTATCTTTTAACTACTCTCAAATGTCCAATAGAACGTAATTCAAAACAGCTAAAGAACGCTAATCCGCGAATTCGCTACAATCACACAACAGTAGTTTTCTAAACAACAACAAACTAAGCAACTACTACAAACTAAACTGAGATGTTTTCCTCCTTTTATAAGATTTTAAAATCACGCGCTAGAATTTTCCAGTACTTTCTCGAAATCAAAAAGTGATATTTATTTATTTATTTAATGCACACGCGCTCTTGTATTTTCAATTTTTCCGGCTTAGCTTTCTTTAATATTCGTCACGTGCTGCACTGCGCGAGAAATAAAACCATTTAATTTATAATTGAACTAACATTAGCTTTTTAAATACCAAATTCGTAACACTGCCCCCTTCCCAAGGACTGCACGTCCCGGGCAGTACAATCCCTGGACAGGAAGCTAAACTTACAACTGTGGCATAAATGCAACTGAGGCATAAACATTACATTACAATATCAAACAATATAAACAATAAATGCAATAACTAACTTAAACAAATCAAATGCTATCAAATACTAAATGCAAATCAAATACTAAATACAAATCAAATCAAATACACACATTTAAGAAACAAAA